CAAGAAAAAAGTGATCAAACCATGATAATTGTTCTCTGGATTGTTTGGGATGGATGTGTCTTCCAGACCTGCATTTAATTTCTGATGACTGACATTCACCACAGGCTTTATACTTACCTGAGTAACGGTGCATTTGGGCAAACTCTGTGGGGAAAAGAATAAAGCAGAGAATAAGTGGATCCACCAAGGAGTGCTGTCCTCAATTGTATTAACAAACAACCCATCCACCGCCCATGGAGACCGTTCTCTTCTGCAGAAATGTGTTTGTTCTGTAAGTAGAAAATCACACTAGAAGCTCCTGTGTCGTCCTGCAGAAAGGGAGAGTCTTTGGGATACAGAGAATCATAGAATCACAAAGTGATTAGGATTGGAAAGGTCTTCCAGCCTTAAGGCTGGATATTTTGGTTTTGCATATCTCCAGAGGACTCTACCACCTATCTGGACAGCTTGTTCCACAGCCAAGAAGAGACCTCAGAATCAAGACGTTACCTCAAATTCAGGCAGAACTTCCTGTGTTTAAGACTGTGACCATTGCCTCTTGTCCTGTCACTGGCCTGCACTGAAGAGAGTCTGATGCCATCCTCTTGACACCCTCGCTTAGGATATTTGTACACACTGATGGGATCCCCTGTCAGCCTTCTCCTCTTAGCTGATCCAGGTCTCTCAGCCTCTCCTCAAAGCAGAGATGCTCCAGTGCCCTCATCATCATTGTAGCCCCTACAAGGGCTGAACAATCTGCAGTAGCTCCATGTGCCCTGACTTGGTCTTTCGGCAAGTTCTCTAACCTACTGTGAACCTGAGAGCAGAATGTCTGAAGGGAAAAGCTCATCATGGAAGCCAGGACACTGGGGATGAACTACGCAGGTTCCCTGATTTCTGACATTGCAAATGAATGTGGTTTCATTTTCTGGAGGAGGGAGGGAACACACAGATTAGCTACTGGGTAGCAAAAAAAGAAGGATGAAATTGATGAGACATTATAAAAATTTGGTGCCATATTTAGAGTTAGTGGAGAGCCCATGCCACACACTGCCTTCCACAAGGAGGGAATGGAGAGGGCACTTGAGCACCTGTGCACACCAACACATCCTGGAGATGTCAGTGGGGAGGATGGCCACGGAGCCACTCTGTAGAGAAGGGCTGGCAATTCTGCACTGCTTGCAAGGCCATGCAGAGAAGCAGCTCAAAGACTACTGCTTCTATAACACATCCGGGATATGAAGGCCCAGCTCTTGGTTTCCCTGCTCACCTAGTTTGCTCTGCAGCTCAGCCGTGTCGCTTTTGGATGAGGAACCCTGAACTGCTTTCTCCTCTTTGAATATTTTGCCCTGTGGTTGTGATGCCAGGTGTTGGCCATCATGCTGCATGGAGGCCTGCATGCTCTCCGAAGATCTCTGCCTAGCTTGGGCTTCTTGGGACATGTTCAGCAGAACAGGAGTGAAGGTGTTGGGTTCTTTGTCTGGAGCCGGTGCTGTATTGTTGGCTGCTTCCACCGGTCTCTGTAAAATGGCCAGTTTCTCATTCAGAATCGTCTCCATTTTCTTCTGGAAGTTTTCCAGGGACTTTTCCGTGTTTTTCTCCACTGCCTTTCCTGAAGAAGAAAGTTGTTATTGGGATGTCCTTCCTTCATGTAAGACTGCATCTCACTAGTGGGGAGGCTCTCCTTTCAAGGTGTACTACAAATAGCCCCCCTTTCACTTGAGCACTAAAAAAGGACCTGCTACATGAGATTGCACTAGTGTCTATCTGCCAGGATCCAAGGGTACAGGCAGTGGGCAAGGAAGACATGCATAACTATCTGCCAGGATCCAAGGGTACAGGCAATGGGCAAGGAAGAAAGCACTATGGCAGTGTTCTTTCTCTGGATTTCTTTCCATTGACTTTGCTGACTGCAGAAAGGATGGAGAAAGAGCAGAGGGTCTGCTGTCCTGCTTGAGTGTGCTGTAGAGGCAAGCCAGTCCAGACTGTGGCTAGAAATCACCATGTTCCCCTTCTCTGCAGGGTTTGCTTGGCTTGTGGGGAGAAGCCTCATTGTCCCCGAGGGAGGTGGCCAGATAAAGGGTAAGAAGGAAGCAGGATACGTTGGGAGACATGCCTGAGCTCAGATGGAGATGTCTGCCCTATAGCAGGCTGGTGAGAGCCCACAATACAGACCGCCTTCCACAGTGACAGTACGGAAAGGTAGCTTGGGTGCCAGTGCTCATGTCCTTCTCCTACAGATGGTATTTGGGGGAATTGCCAAGGAGTCAACTTGCAGAGAAAGACTCCCCATTCTATAGCACACCCTTCTGTCTTTGGGGAGAAGGCGGCCCAGATCATGATGTCCCTACTTACCCAATTTGCTCTCCAGCTCGGCCATCTCTTCTCTGGAGTGCTGGAGGTCATGGATGGATGCCCGCAGGCTCTCCAAAGATCCCTGCAGAGCTTGAACTTCTTGAGAAACGTTCTGGATACTAGAATTCAAGATTCTATTGTGCACCTCTGGAGAAGGCACTGCACGGCGCACTGTTCCCACATGGTTCTGTAAAGGGGCCAGTTTCTCTCTCAGAATCCTCTCCAACTTCTCCTGAATGATTTCCAGGGACTTTGCAGTGTTTCTCTCCACTGCCTTTCCTGAGAATGAAATGAGGTGTCACGGGGCTATCCTTACTTCATGCAAGACAGTGTCTCACTAATGGGGAGGTTCTCCTTTCCAGGT